TAATATGGGCCAAATTTATAAGTGTATTGAAAGTTGGCATTCAAGAAAAAGAAAACAAAAGTTAGTTCAGCAATAAGGTCAAAATGTGAAACAAAGTAAATGGATCTGAAAATGGAATAAAAAGAGACAAATTGACATGATTCAATAGCAATAAAGAGGTGAAGTAATAACACAGTTATGAAAAATGAGGAGCAGAATGGAAAAGTGGTCAAGTTCATGGGCTTCAGAGGAGAGAGGTTATCTCAGGGTTAAATGCAGGACCTCCCACTTAGTACCTGTACTCTCTTAGCCTCATTTCCCCATTTTTAAATGAATGAATAGCACCATTACCTCCTAAGCAGGAGGCAAGATAATGTGTATCAAGTGTTTAACAAACATGCCTGACTAGAGACGACAATCAGAAGGTAAGATGGCTTATATAGGAACACAAAAAATGGAGGGGAAACTCCCATCAGTGGAGGTTGAACTGGAGATCCAACATCTAGTAGATCACAGAGGCCACAGAGATGGACATGATGAGCAGGCTGCATGGGAAGGCATATACTCACCAATCTTAGCCTCTCCTCCAAGGACTCTTCCAGCAAAGAATCAACATCACACTCTAAAAGTATCCATCCAAATAAAGGTGACCCAGTAAAATTTCATGTTATCCAGGTTTATGGGAGAGCCAAACAAAATATTTCAACTCCTGTATAGTCATCTTTGAGGCAGTATGGAGAGCTCTTGAAGCACGAACAATGTAAATGTTCTTCTTCCCACCATGTTATACATTGAACTGTTGCTAATCTTTTAAAAATGGTAACATCTTTCTATATCCTTTTCTGTCTCAGGCGACTCAACAGGCTTAAAAACTGAGAGTTACCCCCACCATCATTTAATTTTAAGGTAGAAAAGTTGTAGGGAATTAAGTAATGCATGTAGGCTAGAAATAATTTTGTTCCTAATGTGCTTCTTCCCCCGCCCCCAAAGAATTAAAGTTAAAATATCCCTTGTACCAAACAGGAAATACTTTTACTATGGAAAATATTCCAAAAAGGAAAAGAACACTCTGTAAATACAATCAAATAATGATAGCTGGATTTATAATTCCTATGTGGCAGAAGACTATCAGGATCCAGACTTTACACATTAGCAACTCTCTACATTTCTGCAGTGATAAACCTGAACCGGTATTGTTCTAGTTACTTTCTATTGCTGTGATAAAAACACTGACCAAAACCAACCCGGGGAGGAAAGGGTTTATTTAACCTTCAGTTTACAGTTCATCATGGAAGAAAATCAGGGAAGGAACTGAAGCATAGACCATGGAGGAACATTGCTTACTGGCTTACTCCCCTGGCCTGTACTTAGCCTGCTTTCATATACAACCCAGAACACTTGCCTAGGGGTGGCACCACCCATAGTGGGCTAGGCCCTCCCACATCACTCAGCAATCAAGAAAATGTCCCACAGATATGGCCACAAGCCAACTCAATGGAAGAAATTCCTCATCTGAGGTTTTCTCTACCCAGGTATGTCAAGTTGACAAGTGAAGCTATCCAGCACATGTGTGATATCAAAAGAAAACACAAAAGGAAGTGTGGGGTTTCTTCATTAGAGACTAAGGCACTGGGAAGAGGAATTATCCAATGGATTCCCTTGGACGGATGGACTATCCCTATAAAGAGTTTTCACACTTTGAGAGGTTGGCAGAAAGACTGTAACAGCCAGAGGAAGGGGTGGAGTATTAACTGGAAGTATCCTCTGGCCACTATGCCTGCAAGCTATAGTCATACCTCCTTCCCACGCTCATCAAGGAGTGAAGGGGGGGGGTCAGTTACCACTCCCCCACAATCAGTCAACCTTAGCTGCATGTGGAGGAAGGGCTAAGGATACATAAGCCAAGAATGCCAGGAGCCACTTCTCTCACCATTTTCTGTGGCTGTCGGGAAGTAACAGGATCTATATTTGAGAGTGGACTTTCCAGTGCGGCCGTAAATAGGGGGCGCCCACTCTTCTGTAAATAAACCCATACCCTATGCTCTGTTAAAAAAGAAAAAGAAGAAGAAGAAAATGATAGGCAAACGTTTGGATAGATAGATGAGAGGGATATGACTAAACTCCAAGTGGATGGATTTGCACTAAGGAATGTCTGGGGACACAGACACAGTGGGCCTTAACACCCAGGACAGAGTGTATGGGTTCCAGTGGGGGAAGACTATGGGAGGGTGCTGGTGATTCAGATTGTTTGAGATATTCTGTATGAAATACAACAAAATTTAATAAAAACAAAATTTTAAAAAAATAAAATAAAAATAGAATTTTCACACTTTGGAAGTTAAGCAACTTGAACTGCAGTGCTTGGCATCATGTACAGATTTCAACTCAGCCTAGCTTTCAGAAAGTCCACAGGAGCTCCAATCATGGTGTCATGCACCTATAATGCTAGCACTCAGGAGGCTGAGGAAGAAAGAATGAATCTGAGGCCAACCTGAGCTACAAAGTGAGACACTGTCTTTATAAACAAAAACAAAGCCAGGTGTTGTGGCACACGCCTTTAATCCCAGTGCTCAGGAGGCATAGGCAGGTGGATCTCTGTGAATTCAAGGCCAGCCTGGTCTACCTAATCGAGTTCCATCTGGGGCTACAGGAAGACCCTGTCTCAAAAAAAACCAAACCAAACAAACAAACAAACAAAACAAAGACAAGTCCCCAGGAGAGCAACATCATTTAAAATAGCCAAGAGGTAGAAATAACCCAAGTGCCATCCATGGATGGATGGATAGATGGATGGACAAAAATAATATGGCATAGGCATATAGTAGGTTTTAAAAATGAAGAAAATTGTGATATATGCTACAACTTGGGTGAACATAGAAGATAATATGCTAAGTGAAATAAGTTAGCTACAAAAAGATACTGTATGATTTCATTTACATGAGGTATTGAAGTAAACTCATAGAAACAGAAAGAATAGTGATTTTCAGGGTCTAGGGGAATTGAGAGTTAGTAATATATATATATATAGTTTTGGTGTTACAAGATGACAGGTTCTGAACATGGATGGCGGTAATAGCTGTAAAAGAAATATGAACATACTTAATGCTACTAATGTGTACAAATGCTTAATGTTTTGGTTTTAATTTTGTGTATGTCTGGGGGGTGGGGTTGTGCATGGGTGAATGCTGATGCTTGCAGAGTTCAGAATAGGGCATTGGATTCCCCATAGCTAGAGTTACAGGCAGTTGTGAGTTATGAGACGTGGGTGCTAGGAACCAAACTTGGGTCCTCTGCAAGACCTACAGTAGATGCTCTTAACTATGGAGTCATCTCTACAGCACCTAATATAGTCAATTCTATATGTATTTTACCACAATTTTTTTTAAATCACTAGGATCCAGAGTCAAAGAAGCACAGCTATCACTATTTGGTGTTTCTCCCCTCTTTCCCAACAATGGGCTCTGCCTCCTTGCTGCAGGGCAGTGGATAAGGTGCAAAGACGCTGAGGCCAGACCCCAGTCCTAGTCATCTCCAATCAGTCATGTAGAGCTGAGCAACGTGGCATTTTGCTGTGTTCTTCTTTTCCCTCACCTGTCAAAGAGGGCCAATAGCCTTCCTCCTCAGGTTGTTATGAGAGATTAGATGACCAGGCCTCTGCAAGTGCAGCATTAAAGATAGGTGCTGCTATTCCTCATAGAAAAACCCACATCCTTTCCTCCCTCTCTCTGCTAGGTATGGGGTCAGCAGGTGCCAGATGAGAGCTTTACATCTGGTCATTTCACTGGTCACAGAACAAATTATATAGAAGTAGTGACTCTGGGCTGCAAATTCTGCAAAGTAGCCTAGGTCACTCAGATGAGTCTTCCCACAAGGTGCTTCGCACCTCTAGGACTATGCACATACTTCCTAAGGTAATGGCTAATAACTATGACAATGTAAATCGGTGGCCTCTAAAATATGAGCCCTCCCATTGGGCATCAGGCACTCCAAAGTATTTCCTTGAGAATGTACAGTTGCATATAATGAAGCCCTTAAAAGCAGATCTGCTCTGTTAATCTGCTCTGAAATCTAGAATTTCTTAGTTTGCAATCACTGCTATAGTGTAATGTCTCCTAAAGACATAAGAAAATACCTTTTGGTATGAGATGTTTCTAAAGAAAATTCATTAAGGTAAACGACTGAATTTTCCACTTTATTAAAAGTTGGGGTTTGAGTGTTTTACAGGGGTGTTTTAGAGGGAGGTTGTCTTTTTAAAGACACAGTAACCTTTTATTAGTTACTAAACTAAAGCTCTTTCCATAGGAATGAGTGTTTTAAACACAATTGCTGTCTGTAAGGTAAATTCGGATGACTAGGGTATCCCTTAAGGAGGACATCTGAGCACTCTGTACAGTAAGCGAAATTTGGTAACTCAAAACATGGCAACTTTATCTAAATGTTTCATTGTCTTCTTTATTAAAATAGTACATTAAAAAATAATTTGAAGTGCTGGCAGGATGCTTCTGACAGCTGAGTGGGAGGCTTCTGGCTAGAGGCCATGATGTTGAGCTGTTAGTTCTCTAAGCTAATTTGTTTGGTTTGAAAATAAATAAATAAATAAATAAATAAATAATAAATAAATAAATAGAACTGAAATGAAAAGGGGGAAAACCACTTAAAAGGTATAATTCTTTTAATGCATGTAAAAATATTTTATTCCTTTTTTTGGCTTCTATGCCTGGCTGTTGGTGCGAAGTAAATGATTCTCTTACAGAGAAGGAAAGAAACTCTAGTTTTAAAAGAAAAAGTAAAATAAGAGCAGACCCCTTAGGCCCGTGCACTTTATCCTTCCTTCTCTGGCTCTAGCAAAGTCACAAAGCTTCACAGGTGAAAGCACAGAGGTGGGATGCCAGTCTTATACTTTAGGGTCCAGCTTTCAAATTTTACAACCCACACTCTCCTTCTTCCAATTACAGAAACTTTACAAAACAAGCAAGAGCTGCCAAGTTTCATCAAGGTAAATAATATATTAAAATGCTTACCAGCTACTTGTTTCAACATCTGGTCACTTCTCGCTGAGCTGTCATCATAATGTTCGAAAAGTGAGAACGCAGCAGGCATGTTCTCTAAGGAAGCTGTGCTCTCCATTGCAGAAAGCAGCCTGCCACAGGAAGAGACATTTACTATGACAGGAAAGAATCAACACAGAGAACCAGAGCAGCAGCTAGCTGCTGTGGGTAGCAATGGTTTGCATGAGGCAAGTCCCCATGCTCCCCATCCAAAAGCACTGGAAAATATGTCTAAAATTCACTTATACTTGGGGTTCTTAGACAACTAATGATATTGAAAATTTTATCCCTATGTTCTCAGATTTGAAGTCTTTAAACTTATATACTCTTGGATTTATTTCTAGTAAATTAGTCCTAAAAATTCTTTCATTTCAGTAATTATCTTGCTTCCTAAAAGACATAAATGTTTCAAGCCTGTCTGGAAACTTCTATGTTGTAGGGATGCTCCTGCTGTTCTCAAACCTCAGTTCTGAGCTTCCAGTCATACTAATAATAATGCTTCCCTACTGCATGCCAGGCACTATACTCTAGACTGGGGGTCCAGCTGTGAAAGAAAGCAAGGCCTGTTATTCCTAAAAGACCAAACAGGCCACAGAGAGCTGTGCTCTTAGAAGCAATGCCAACTCACACTAATTCTTAGCATTCGGATCCAGGATATATACATAAAAGAAAAAAACCAGTTTAATTCTGAAGGGGGAAAGATGGAAAAGAGAGTTTACAAAGCAATGTATCTTTAGCAAGGGGGGCCTCAGAGTATATTAGGGACTCTCCTTGTTTACCTCTCACACAGGCCTGGAACGTTCTTCCAGCAGCAAAGTCAACTTTAAGAAACTGCACTAGCTTCATTTCTCTGGACTTTTTGGGTTTCCCCAGCAAAAGACCCACCTTGAGGCCTTTGCACTTGCTGTTGGAACTTTCTTCTTCTAGATACTGGCACAGTTCCTTTCTTTACTTCTCTCTCTGCTCAAATGCGAGCTCCTTAGAGGGCAGGCTGCCAATTTGGAAAGGCCTGCCCCCTTCAGCTCTTATTCCACTTATTTCCTCGAACTTATCACAGCCTAGTCATTCTTTATCTGTCACCTTCACCAAAATATAACTTGCATGCAAAAAAAAAAGATTATTGTATTCATTATAATATTGCAATGCATTGAATAAATTCAAGGCATTTAATGAATATAACTTGACTTAATAAGAGGCCAATAGTTTCATTTAGGTAGATATCAGAATCTCAGGGAGGGTGGATTCAGAGTCAGTACAGGGGAAAAGATCATGAAATATTTAGAGCCCCTTCTATGTTTATTATTGTTAAACATGATAAAACTCACTACCATTTGATTTAGGGGAAAATGGTCTAGTCAAGGATTCAAACAGGAGGTGACATTTGGGCAGGGTGTTATAGAATGAGCAGGCAATAAAAGGGAGTGCAGATGAAAAACTGGCATGAGCTCAGGCCAGAGCACCAAAGAGCATGAATCACTAGAGAGCAGGTCACACCACAAGGAACCATGGGAGCTGCAAAACAGAGACAGGAATGAAAGGAAAATATGCTTTGTTACTTGATGTTGAAGAGCCTTTCATACCATCTGAGAGTTTCTATTTTATCTTTTAAGGTAAGAAAAGCCACAAAAGTATTTATGCAAAGGAAACATAGAAGACTGTGGTAACAGCTGAGGAAAGATCAGAGGTAATGGACAAGAAAGGCAGTCAGTGAGGTATGCTGGAGAGCCCCAACCCTGGTCTAGATAAGGAAAGACAAAAAGCACCTAAATTAAGGCTTTGGGGATACAAAGGGAGGAAGCAATAGACTGAGAATTAATTTTTTAAAGTAGTGACCAATATGCACACTAAGCCTTCTCAATACATTTCACTGCCTAAATATACAGAAGCCCTGGTTGTAGATACCACAAGTAAAGTGTCTGCATTTTCTCATGTACACTGACCCATTCGATTTTAACAGCAGTGTATGTAAGGGTAAGTCAGCCCTACAATGGTTTAGACGCTCTTTCGTGCTCATTATTGTAATACAAAAGAACAAAATGCATCCCCGTGTTTTTCAAGATATGCAAATGTTGAGTCTAAATATGCTTGACAGCATTCCTTAATTTAAGCATATTTAGTGTTGAGAAAAATCATTTAATATACAAGCACTGCCTTTAGAGACAGAACACGAAGTGAAGAGGAAAAGGCAGCAGGAAAAATAAAGACTTAGCATTTCCTATAGAAAGGAAGCAGAAGTTGTCTTGAGGACATGAAAGTTGTGTGTGTGTGTGTGTGTGTGTATGTGTGTATACACACGTGTGTGCATACACGTTTATAGAGCTTTCATTAGCTGCTCATATTTCTTCACCAAATCCCAGAGTTTTGTTGTCCTTTTTTTTCCTTACAGAAAAATGGTTATCACAAGTACACTTTCTTCAAGTGGCATGCAATGTTAGTAAAGATTAATTCATTGTCAATCGGGAATGAAAAATAAATTAATTAAAATGACACATTGGTTAACAAGTTTAAGCATGAAACCAAAGAAGTGGTGTTTAGTATTAAATGGTTGTCAGTTCATATTAGCAATAATCAACTGTTTAGAAAAGTAAAAGCATTCTATAGCATTTTTAAGGTAGAAACATTTATAAATTTTCATCCACCAAGTTTTCTTCTTGATCATTATCTTGCATGAATTGATAAGATAAAAATAATTAAGTATACATCTATACTGTCCAATGTATGTGGACTAGCACCGTAAATCTATATATTTCAAACTTTAAAATCAGCAGTATTATTGGTTTTTAAGTTTTAGAAATATTTGTGGATCCACGCCTTTAATCCCAGCACTTGGGAGGCAGAGGCAGGCAAATCTTTGTGAGTTTGAGGCCAGCCTGGTCTACATAGTGAGTTCCAGGACAGCTGGGGCTACAAGGAGACCTTGTCTCAAAAAGACAAAAAAAACAAAAACAAAAAAATATTCATGGATCAAGGCTTGGGTACATGTGTCTATACCTGACTGTTATATCTCAAACTCATTCATTAGAACTGACAAGGTGCTTCATCTTTCCTGGGAATTCCCAAGTAGTGGGGGTGGGGGCCCATGTTATCCAGGTGATACAAGCACAGTCAGTTTGGGGAACCACTGGGTCTAAGGACAGTCTCCTATAAACCAGAAATTCCCGACGTTGTCTGCCCATCAGAAGCATCCAGGAAACTTTGAAGCTGTCCAGGCCACACTTAAGCCCAAGGAAGCCTGACTGTTAGGAGATAAGATTCAGGCACCAGCAGCTTTTAAAGCTCCTTGGGTAACTGTTCCTAGTACAAAACCCTTATCAATTAATGCCAATATTAATTAATACATAAATAGGTTTTGTAAAACTTACTGACAATATTCTGCGGGACAGAATCTTTTATAAGCAAATGGGATTCATTTGTGTAATTTCAACTTCTGAAAAAGATCAGGTTTCCAATTCAAATTCATTTTCCTGTGTACATTCCAGACAAATTTCTGACTTTTTTGGCTCTACTGTTGGGTATGAGTGGAAATAAACTACGATAATCTTTATAACTTAGAAACGTACACTCACAATTACATTAACAGGATAAAACCTTGAGCTAAACTAGCAGGAAAGGCCTCTGCTCTTGCCACAAAGTAAAAGGGATGATGGGCTGAGATGAGTGTTGGAAAGTCAGCATTAGATGGGCCAAAAGAGAACAGAAATCTGCTGGCTCATGTTTTTATAGACAACATTTCCTAATTTCTTGTTGAGTATGTTGCCTCTCAGAAGAATAAAGATTCTCTAAGACTGGGTGTTTACAATGTCATCATAACAAAACAAAGTCAAAAGAATAAGATTCATTAAGTTAGCTAAGCAGAAAGAAAAGATAAATGCAGGTCTATCTTTTGAAGAGAAAATGAGAAAATATGCCATTAAGATGACATAAGTCCTAAAATTACTCAAGGCAGCTATGAATGCTTCCTGCAGAAACTCATATTTAACCAATAAGTCTAATCATTTATAATTTTTTTTGTACACAGTGGCAGGGAAGCTGGTTGAGATTGGATCAAAAATACAGACAACAGCTCAGGGAAGCAGTTCAAATCTATAGCATGATAATTGTTATTTAACTAAAGCACATGCAATTTCTTTCAAAGCTGTCATTTAATTTTTAAAAAGCACTATGTCTAAGAGTAAAAACCTATCAGCTCACTAAATATATTTTTTAATTGGCAGCTCATCCTCTGAAGCATCAAAATATTAAAAGCAAAGCATCCCATCATGCTGTTCTCAGATCCACTACATTGTGCCAAGTTGTATATACCTGTCATTGATTTCCTCAAACGACTTGGGGATGGGGGAGGAAAGAAAGAGAAAGAGAGACTAATTAACAGGAAGTTAAATGAACCAGGAGCATTAAGATCACATGTAAAGATCACATGTTAGACAATCTTTATCCCTAGGCTTCCCTGAAGCTGTTTCTCTTTGGAGTTTATGCTGGATGGCTAGGAAGTCAATACTGAGAGAGGGGTGGGAACTGGGTGTGGACAACATGAAGGGGCCTGAGCCCACAGCACCACTGCTGTCTTTGATCAGCAGCCTGACAACGGGCTGTTGTGTTCTGCTTATCCCTGTTTATTAACAAATGGTTTAGTTGCCAGAATAGAATTCTCTGAAGCAAGGAAAATGACTTAAATTTGTTCAGTGTGAGCTATACACACAAAATAATCAGTAGTTATCTCTGCTGATAGCTTTTCTTTGTTTTCCTATATTTTCCAGTTTTTCTAGAATGAATATCACTAGCAAAAGCAGAAGCAAATGTTTTCCCCCTCCCAATCTGTTCTCCTAGAGAAAAGGAAATATTCATCTCAAACAAAGGTTATCCAGGAACACAAAGTGGGATAGGGATGTTGCTAGAAGCAGCTTCCCTAGGAAGCTTATTAATTAAATGCTTCAAAAGAGGTGCCCAATTTAAAAATATTAAAGCTTTGCCTTAATTAAACATAAAGCCACCTAATGATTTTAAATTCTCCCTAGAGGATGGCCATATCCACTTGACCCAAATTTGTCCTGGCCAGAGGTATCCCCAGAGGGAAATCATAAGCCTACATGCCCATTTTTGCCTCAATCTATCTCCAAACTTCACTAGAGGGCTAGGAAGATAGGGAACCTTGAAATGTAGGTTCCCACTCAGTATAGACAGATCTTTCAGGTTTGACTATTAGGCTTGCACCTGCCCTCAGGGAAAACAGTTGCATTGCTATTAGTTTTTCCCAGGTCTGTAGAAAAACATCTTCCTGACAGCCTAGGGATTCATGAAGAGTAAAGAGCTGCCTTGATGAAGCAAACTGAGGGGTAAACAAAGGAGTCTCCACAAGTCCCTCATTTAAATTAAGGAATCCTATCCTAAGGAAGCTGCTTCTAATAACATCCCTATCCCACTTGAGTAAGATTCCATAAGTACATCATCCTTTTGCATTGAAAAGTGAACCAAAATGTTACTCTAGGTCACTTGGTGAGGTGGGGGATAGAAAGGAATTGGTCCATATAAGAGGTCACCTCAGATTAGACAGTTGACAGGACAGGCCCAGGGCTAGCATAAGGATCTGGACAACAAGATATGGGACTGGCCCTCAGAGGGACGGGATGGCCCTCAGAGGGAAGGGATGGCATGATTAAGGTTGTGCAGCTGCTCCCTGGTTTAGAAGGCGACCAGTCTTCTGTAACAGGGTGATGGCCTCCTTACAAGGATCTGGACATTTGGTTTTTCAGGATTTGTGGGGCTTTTTCTATATTTTGGTATCGTTTTGAAATGTCAGAATTATATAAATTCCATACTTGAGATATAAATGATCTTTTGGGGTTTGTTTTTTAATTTGCTGTTGTTTTATTGTTTTGTTTCACTTTGTTTTTTGAGGTAGTCTGTATATAGCTCAGGCAGGCCTTATGCTTGTGATCCTCATGTAGGGTTCCCAAGTGCTGGGATTACAGGGGCATGCCACCACACCTAGCTTATAACCAACCAATAGACTTGTGCCAGTGTTGGCACCTGGTGTTGGGCCTTCTTCCCATAATGCTTACAGTCAGGAAAACCGTCTCGTCGAGCTCCTCAGCTTCTCTCACAATGGTCTCCAGGGTGTCCTTGGCCATGTCCATGCTCTGCAGAAAGTGGACCATCTGGTCATGCAGGAACTCCATCTTCTTCTTCTTCAGTTCCTCAAAGCTCTGGGCTTTCTCATCATACTGTGCCAGGACCTTCTTCATCATTTCCTCGTTCTGTTCTTCTAGTCTTTTCTCATTTTTGCTACAGTTTTCCTAAATGGGTGGGAACAAACAAAAACACTTCTCGTTTTAAAGATTTATTTTATGTTGTATATGAGTGTTTTGCCTGCATGTACGTAAGTAAGGAATACCATTTATGTGCAGTGCCCACAGAGGCCAGAAAAAATTGGATCCCCTGGAACTGGAGTTATCAACAGTTGTTAGCTGCCATGTGGGTGATGGAAATAAAACCTGGGTCTTCTGGAAGAGCAGGAAGCACTCTTAACCACTAAGCCATCTCTCCAGCCTCCCAAAACACATCCTAATAAAAGAATCAAACATTAAGTATATAGTCTAAACTTCTGTATAATTAACTGCCTAAGAGACATGTGGGGAAGGGGCAATAAAGCAAGTGTTCACTAATCTACAACAGGAGCAGGGAGATTGGTCAGCACCTTTCAGCAAAAGCCTAGAGCCATTTGTCACTCCTGACTGATACCTGGGCCATCTCTGGACAAGGATAGATAGAACATTCCTACACATATCTTCATAGTGGAGGGGGCAGAAGCTAACAGCCAGAAGAACATATACTCAGAGGTGCCCTGACACTCATTGGTCCTAGACATAAGACACAAATCAATGACTTAGAACGTTTCTGAAGGCCAATCCAGTGAGAAGCAAAAAATAGAGTTTAAGACTCAATTTTAGTTTCTCATCCATAAAATGGAAGCAACACTAACAATTATCTTAGTAACTCATAGACTTATTGTGAAGGTTAACTTTGGGAAAATATATGCCTTAGCGTGGTTTAAGTCCTCAATAAACGTGTGTTGTTAGGGAAAAATCCTTTATCCTTAAACAGGAAGTAGTCTCACTGCTCAAAATGAGGGAAGACTCTACGAATACTTACCTTGAATTAAGAAAACCAACAATGCATGGGCTGGAGAAATGGCTCAACCATTCCTTAAGTGCACTGGCTGCTCTTGCAGAGGATCCAGGTTCAATTCCCAGGACCCACATAGTGGCTAACAATAGTCTGTAATTCCAGTCCCAGGGGAATCTGATGCCGTCTTCTGACCTCTGCAAGCATTATATGACATGGGTGCAACTGTCTACACTCAGGCAATATATTCATACACATAAAATAAAAATAACAAAATACTAAAAAAAGAAAACCACAATGCAAACCAAATGTACGCCCGCCCGCGCACGTGCATACACACACGCACACACGCACGCACGCACGCACGCACAGCCCAACTCAGGTCCTTTTATCTCTGAATCATTTACTGGTGATACTATAAAGAAATCAGTACAGCTATAACTTACCTCAATAGTATTAAAAAAGGATTCAATCTCGCTAACAAAAGCTTCAATCCTCAAGGATTTTTCTTGTAGATTTTCAAGAAATTCTGCTAATTGAACCTAAACAAAAGAATTAAAATATCTTTAGTGTATAACATTAGGGGGAAAACTTTCAAACAGTGGATTCTAATTTCCTTAATTTAAAATTTAAATTTATTTATTTTTAGTTTTGTATGTGTATAAGTATTTTGCCTGTTGTGTATGTAAGTGCACCCATGCATGTAATGCCTGCAGAGCCCAGAAGACGATGTCGAGTTCCCTGAAACTGGCGTTACAGATAGTTGTTAACCACCCCATGTGGGTGCTGGGAATCGAATGTAGGTCCTCAGGAAGAGCAGCTAGCACATTTTTTTTTCAGCTAACACTCTTAACCACTAAGCCATCTCTCTAGCCACTCCTTAATTTATCTGTAGAGATTTACTGTACCATATTCATTAATAGATAAATTTTTGGTTTATTTTTTTTTGATTCCACCTAAATCGATTCTACTCAATTCTGTACAATAAACAAAGAGTTTGGGAGGGCTGGAGAGGTAGCTTAGGCTTTACGGTAAAGTACCTGCCTTACAAGCATGAGGACATGAGTTTGATCCTCAGAACTCATATAAAAACAGTCAGGCATGGTGGCACACATTTGCAATCCAGAACTTGGGGTGGGGATAGAGATAGGCAGGTCCCTGGGATCACTGGCCAGCCAACCTAGTCTACTTGGTGAGTTCTAGACAGTGAGAGGCCCTGGATCAAAAAGAGAAAGATGGGTGGTGCCTGAAGAATAATACTTGAGGTTTTCCTCTGGCCTCCACACAAACACAGTCATATATATGCATGGGTTCATTCATATGGGTATACACACACACACACACACACACACACACACAAATAAAAATAAAATAAATATTTTTTTAAAAGGTGGCATTGGGGCTGGAGAGATGGCTCCGGGATTAAGAGTACTGACTGCTCTTGCAGAGGACCCGGGTTCAATTCCAGCACCCAAATGGTAGCTAACAACCGACCGTAATTCCAGTTCCAGGGGATCCAACAACTTCTTCTGACCTCTGTGGGCATCACACGACACAGGTGCACTTACATACATGCAGACAATATGTTCAGACACATAAAATAAAAAAATAAATAAAATATTTTAAAAGGTAACATCATATCTCCTACCTTTGAAATTTTAAATTGACAATATTTAGGCAAATATTCTATAGTTTCTGCAACTTGGAGATAAACAAAACATAGTAAAGAAATCTGGAAAATGTTACCAGAGAGTGGGGCACACTTCACTGGCATTAATGTATCTAATATCTAAGATTTCACAAAAGAGGTTGTCCCACCCCAACCCCAAATTTTAAACAGGTAAGATTTCAACAGGGTTTCACTCTAGAGAAATAGGAAAAAAATTAATTTGGTAACGAAAAATGCTAAGATTCTAATATGTAATTCTATTTAATCAAAATTAGTCTGACAATTATTTAACAGTGACGTAACTGAATGATCATTTGGGAACCACTACCATTAACAAGGCACTGAGTCTAACAGTATGGCTGTACAGTCAAGAGCATAAACTCTGACAGCACACCAACCTGGGTATCAATCCTAGCGTCACCTCCTGTAACCTTGGCAAATCAGTTAAACTCCCTGAGCCCATTACATTACCTGCAAATCAATGATAGCGATGAACGGGGGTGGTATGAGGGTTAAAATGCATTGTGTATATAAAGAACTTAACACAGCCCTGGCACAGAGAAAGTGTTGAATTCTTGTTATTTGCCAATTTTTAGATGATTCTGGCTTGTATATGGAGAATAAAGATATGAAAGCAGTTAGAAGGTGATTGAAAGGGAGATGAGAGCTCAAAGACTCAATGTTTTCCAATAGCATATCTGGGAAGGTGGGATATTTATAATCATGTACATAAGGATGTGCATAGTGATATTCTATCTAGAACATTGGGGATCTTCCATAAAAAATGGAAGATTTTCCATTCCTAATATAAATATTATAATCAAAAAGAAAACAGAAAAATCAGAGTTTAAGATCTTACTGTTTTAAATATTTTTATAAAACTTAGAACTGATCAGTGTAATATATGTATTTTTCAAAGGACAATATTGTTGATGATAGAAAATGTGTTTTATGAAAAGATATATAATTATTGAGATTAGAAAGATTTCACATTTTCTATAATGTTATAAGACAGCACACTCCTCAATAGCAATAACCCTGTTTTTTCTTGGTATCCCCAGAACCTAAAAAAATATTTCACATATAATGTTTAACTAATCAATAGATACTTTCCAGCCTTAACTAAATTCTCAGGGAAAGATTCCTAGTTTTTTCTATTTTGTTTAAATGCTAACATTAAATATTGGTCTTTTTTAAATTAAGAAAATGTGAACACAAACCTAACATGTATGTATTATTTGTGTGCATTAAATTGATTTACCTTAACAGCACTTATAGCTGTGTCAAGCGCTGAAACCTCATGGTCTTTGTGAATATCTAATGCCTTGTCCATTTCAGAAACTGGACTTTTGCAGGTGTAGCAGTAGGAGTCAATTTGGGACTTCTTTGGTTCCTTTTGTATTTTCTTTGTTACTAACCCTGATGCTGACTGATCTTGTTCTGTCTTCTCTCTGTCCAACTCTTTCTGTTTAGCCTTTATTCTTTCTTCCATCTCACTTACAAGTTCATGTTCCCTGCTGTGCTCAAAGGACTCTGTTCCTTGAGATAACACATCTTCGGGCGTGGATTCTGAATACAGTTCTTCTGATAAGATGTCGTGACCAACCACTTCATGGTTCAGGGAATCAACAAATTCAAACTCATCCTGCACGGGGCTATTGCGGAGCCTCTCTTCACTTGACTGATGTGGAGCTGGCACTTTAGGTTCTTCTTGTGATGTTTCTTGAATATAAGTGGCACCAGATGCAAACTCCTCCTCTGGGAAAGACACTTGTACTGGGACATTCAGATTGACTTCTGGGCTTGCGTTTCCTGCTTCATTGCCCTGGCTACTTGGCTCATCTACACTCTCCAGAACACGGTGGGTATCTTCAAATGGAACTGCATAGCTCATCTTCTGGGTAACTGCTCTAACTTCCTCTGTTATGGGAGATTTCCCCTGCATCACTACCTCATCAAAGGTCTCTGTATGGCCTCCTCCTGATTCTCCTTCCCTGTAACCAGCCTTGTGCTGTTCTTCCAGACTCTTCTCCCAAAAAGTAGTTCCAGCCTTCCCCCCAATTTCCCTTTCTGCAGCTCTCAGTTGGTGTGAATCATCCTTACCAACTGGCTTTTCTCCTAGACCTTGGCCTTGATCCTCTTGAGTTATAGATGTGTCATGAAGAATGTCATCTTTGAGTATGTACTTCTCAAAATACATTCCCGTTCCATCATCAGTGTCAGACTGTCTCCTTGGAAATGATGCCTCAGAATTCACATTGTCACCTTCAGAAGATGTCTCCTCTTCCTCCTTTTTCTCCCCAACTGCCTCTTCATATAGATCCTTATATAAAAATGCAAGTGCATGTGGCTCTTCCAGAAGCTCAGGGTTAACGGCTTTGGCAGTGGTAGGAAATATCTGACTTCTTGATAGAACTCCTTCCTCTGCATCAAATAAAGGCATCCCAGGTGACCTGGAGTCTACATCTCTACTGACACCCTTTGAAGTATTTCCATCAGTTGAGTTTTGGATAACCAAAGACTCTGGCATCTCTGAGTGAGATAATTTTCTGTGGTCCTTTTCTAGCCCATAAAAACTTTCATCTAACTTCACCAAGTCATATTCATGTTCTAGGGCACCTTCCTGTGAACTTTCTGGGAAAGAAATAGTTTCTTCTGTAGCTTCCTTTGGAAATTCTTCAGTAGTTAATTTCTGTGGTTCTTTCTGTTTTTCTGGGTCAGGGGAGATGTTATAATCAATCAAAGTATATTTTTCAAAATAATCCTCTTCACTGGAAATTGTGGGTTGCATAAAAGTGAAATCACCCTTTTCTGAATCAGTGAATATCTCTTTTATTTTATGAATTTCCTTTGGTTCATTTTCTTTGAGTGATGTAACTTTCCTATCAGACTCTTCTAACTTGCTCTCTTGTGTTTTATGGGAAGCAACCACCTCATTCTCATCACGCAGGGATTTGATTTGAAATGAAGTTTTCTCTTCCAAATATTCCAATTTATCTTGCATTTGTTCACTTTCTTCCTGATCCACGGAAGGAATGAAAGCAGGAGCATGGATATTCAATATCTCGCAGCCTTCGGAAATGATGCTAAAGGCACTCTTTTGGTCTTCCGAAAGCCCTGCTGGCTTACTAGTCACTGAAAATTCTTCACCTTTGACGGAGGTGCCTTCCGGCTCCTTAGGCGTGTCTTTTATAGGAGTCATCCCATCAGTGTTGACTGCTGATGCATTAAGTATAAACTGAGCATAGCTACTCGTTGCTGAAGCGAGTGGTTCATTTCTGTGAGTATCCTCCACAGCCTCCACGTGGCGCTTTGAAACAAGAACAGATTGCTTAGGCATCTCAGCTGAGTGTTCTTCATACGACTGGATGGTGTGGACTGTAGGCCTCTCTGACCACATTTCCTGTTTCTTCACTGCATCCGTTTCTAGAGATGTTCCTGAAAGAGGCGTTTGTGGCTTTGCAGATGGCAGCTGAGTGGGTGGTGTTTCTAAAGGCTCTGTTTCGTCAGGAGTTTGCTCTGATGTCCTTTCAAAGTCATTAACTAGAGATCTTCGCTTCCTGTTTTCATCTATTACAGCCATGGAGCCCCCTGTGGACAACTCTGATACTGTGAACTGCCCTCTTCCCTCTTCTGGACCCACCATACCCCTGCTTGACTTTTCTAACCCCAGATTTCCTCCCTGGGCTAAAGAATCCTCATCCATTTCCTCATCACAAGGCAGCTCCATAGGGTGGGAAGCCTTGGTTTTCTCCACCAGAGCTTTACTTCCTCTCAGCAGATAGGGTTGAGTTTCTGGCAGCTTTCTTTCCCTGATTTCTGGGTATACCTCTGCAAACATGCGTTCAGGTTTTTCAATAATTGATGGTGTTTTAACCAATGAAGGTGGTTGAGTTTCACCCAAAGAACGATCTAAAGAGACAGCCGATTCTCCAGGCTCAGGCATGGCTGTGTTCAGTGACGAAGGCCGGCTTTCCTCCTTCTTTCCTTCCGAAAATAACGGCGCCTGCTCTTCCTTCCCTCCTCTCTTCTCAGCAGCAGCAGTCATGCTGGATCTTTCTATGTGCTCTTCACTTGCATCGATGTGCTCCAGTTTCACAGCAGCTTTTGACTCTTCCAATTTACAAGGTTGAGATTCCGGTGTCGCCTGCAATTTCCCTATCTCTTTATTTTCCCTAAGCTCTAAGGGGGCTGTGATTTCTGGTTTTCCTTCCAGCTCCGTCTTTTCTGCCAAGGCAGATGATCTAGTTTCCCAACTATCTTTCTTCTCCATTGGGCGTTTGAGTTCCTCTTCAGAATGTGTCAAAGAAGTAGGTTTTGGCATTTCTTTCTTTAGTCTGTCCTCACCAAGATCAATTAAACTGCCTTTTGATTCTAATGACAAAATTACTGGCTCTGGCTTCTCTGGTTCCTTTATGATGTTTTTACTTGCAAAGTCGAATGAAGCTGATTTGGGCTGTTGTGGCATTTTATCTACCATGTCCAAAGAAAAGAGTGATTTCTCCTTTTGAGCACTACTTGGCTCTTCCTTAAGAACAGAAATATTCCACATAGATGGAGGAGAGATTTCTGGTTTCTGGCGCCTCTGACTTTCAGTTACATGAAGAGGAATAACATTCTTGGTGTCTTCCATAACCAATTTCTCACTCCTGGGGGAAGACAGTTGAATTCCAAGATGTTCATCACCAGCAGAGGTAACTAAGTTTGTGCCTGTTTCCTCTGAATGGTCTGGGATTTCTTTCTTCACATAATCTTCAGTATGTGCCTCAGAGTTGGATTCTGAGTGATTTAAAATTTCTACATTTGATAAAAATATGAGTTTATCTTTAACACCTTGACCTTCACTGGATTTAACTGAAATATCTCTGGATTCTTCCGCAGGTTTAAGTTTGACTTCAGGTAATGAATGAACAGCTGGCTTCATGGTTGCATTAACATCCACGGGAAGTGTACCTTTAGGCTCTTTGGCAGGGGCTACTTTCTCTACGGAGGGACTTGACTGAGTTTCTAAGTCTTCTTTTTCAGCAACCTTATTATCTGGAGTGCTTGATCCAAAAAATAAACTGGACATCCATGATTTGAAAGATGAAATTCCTTTTATCCCCTTTTCTTCAGGAAGACCTTGCTCAGTCACCGTTGGCTTCTTGGAAGGCTTTTGTGTCACCTCTGGTGTCTCTGGGTGTGGAGGTGCTACATTTGCTGGGACTGAGGGGACTGGTTTACTTTGGGTGGACAGTTTCACTTCAGAAGCTGCTTTTCTTCCTTCTTTCACAACATCTGTAGCCTCTGACTGAACTAATTCTGGTTCTTGCAATGGCTTCTCTCCAGACAGAGGAGCTATGCTCCTGTGTGCCTCTTTGTCTTTGTCCAGTATGGGCTCTGCAACTTCAGCCAGAAAATGTGCTTCTCTGACAAGAGAGGGGACAGTTTCTTCCTTTACCTCTTCCACTGATGGGCCACACACTGATTTCTGGAAAGTTCTTTCAGGAAGTAGCTTGACTTCTTCCTGGGTGTCTGCTCTGCAAGGCCTAGAAAGTTCTGTGTTTGTTTTCTCTGATATCAAATTTTTACTATCTGTGAAAGAACAGATTTGCCTCTCCTCTGCAACACCTCTCTCTACCTTTCCAGTTGGAACTACAGATTTTGGTTCCTGAGCCAGCTCTACTTCTTCAGAAAAGTAAGTTGTAGTTGATAAGTTCTCTGCCTGACCACTGGATACATCAAGGGTAGAGACTGGTTCTTCTAATGACAAGTGGGGTTCCTCAGCAGAATGTGGCAGAACCTGCTTTCTGATTTCAGATGTGTGATCCATACCCAGCGAAGCAGCCTTGAGCTGTCCTGGCATCAGGTCGTGCCTACCAGGGGAATCTGGTTGCCTAGAGCCTAGTTTTCTGATTTCATACTGACTGGACAAATCTTCTGGCTTGTCCAGCATCCAGTTATCATCCTTTGGAGAAATAAAAGGCTCCTTCACTTTTGTTCCTGTAATATCTGCAGACTCAGTTATAAATGATTTTGATTTTTCCAAAAGCAAATTCTCTTTCCAATCTGAAAATTGTTTAAGATCCAGATCTGCCTTATCTACAAAAGAGCTGCTCACATCAGACACCTCAACAGCTTCACCTGCATGAAGGGTTTTTTCAGGCCTCTTTTGTTCTGTAAGGAGGTCAGAAGCAACCTTTGATGGTTCTGCAGCAGGCACAGGAAGCTCCCTGTTTTCTTCCTGTTCTTTCCGTCTGTTCCTACAGCCCTTTTCTAAAATGGAATCCCCTGTTTCAGTTACAGGAGATTTTATTGGTTCCATATCTATAGATTCACTTCCTCTACCTACACTACCACTACGTTCTGACCCAGCGGTTGGCAATTCTGAGAGCTGGGGTGACTTGTGCTTCTCCTCAGGCTCAGAAGGGAGCTCTGTAAGACCTTGTTTTCCTGACAGGAAACCTCCCTGGAGCACTGGAGAAGTTGCCTCTTTTGTTTGTTTGTTCATCTCATCCCTGCTGGCCAGTAACGTTGGGGCTAAATCATCTGACATTAAATTTTCGAACTCAGGAGGAGAACTTGTTATCTCCTCAGGTCTGTCCTTTGGAATTATATGTGTGGGTGCAGGTGACACATTTTCTGATGGAGGGAGCTCACTTTCTTCTTTCTGTACCTCACCACCTAGCTTGAGCGGAAGTTTAGGCTCAGACTTTGACACTTCTGAGACAGACACTGAGTTTTCTTTCTGTGATGAAACCAAGTGTTGGGATTCAAGGACTGTAGAAAGTGAAAGACCTTGCTTGTCTCCCCTCCTTGCTTCCTCAGACACATCCAAATGCTGAGAAGATGGCATTTGGGGTATTGGCAAGCCAGGTTTAACTTCTTCAGTTTCTACTTTTGACCAAACAGAATGCTCTGCTGCAGAGGATGGACTTGGAGCTGAATCTAATTTCATTTCTTTCTCTGCTTCTGGCCAAGCTGAACTTCTGGATAAAGACGCTTCAGTCAGAGAAGCAGCATTTTTAATTGATACCTTTTCTTCTTCTGTAAGACCTGAATCCTCATCTATAGACATTATGGGTGGTAGCAAATCACCTCCCATTTCACTGTTTGCTACTTGTGCTAAGCTTGGGTGTTCCACGGGACTGGCAAGAGATGAATCTGTCAGGATTTCTTCCCTCCCTAATTTGGTTACGTTCGAATCAAGCTTAGCTCCTGGCCCTGTGGCGGCAGAAGAGCTGGCTTCAGTCACTTTCTTCATTTCTTCTGAGGAAGCTGAAAATGCTGGTGGTACAGGTGGGTGATGTGCAGCTTCCTTTTCTAGTCCCAACGAAGCTGCAGGAAGTGCTCTTGTTATTTTGGAATCGTGTTTCGCTTCCGTTTTCACTCCAGATAAAACCTCAGGCTCAAAAATAGATGTTTCCTTTGGAGGTGAGCATGGTTTTGTTACTTCACGCTCCTTCTCTGACAACACTCTCTGCTCTGGTTCAGAAGTCACAGTTGGAGCTAAATTGAATTTGACATCCGTCTTTGGCTCATATTTCAGCCCAGACCCTGGAACATTTGGAAGCTGAGGCTTTAGTTTTTGATCCTGTGATACACGTGCAGTGGCTTCTTGAGAACCAGGTGCTGTTTCTTCCTCTCTGACTTTAAGAAAAGTCATCTGTTTATCTGTAGTTTCCATAGTGAGCAAGGCTTTCGGTTCCTGTCCTTTCTTAATTTCATGGACTGACTCAGGTGAAACTGAGGGCTGAGATGTGAGCAAAGCAGGTTTGGTTTCTTCCTTTGCCACTGATGCAGGTAAAGAAGGAGGTGTTGTTGCTGCTGCTGAACTTCCCTTAATTTCTTCCTTCTTAGACACACTGGAGAAGTGTAGAGGAACCAGGTCTTCAGGCCTGGGCTCCACAGAGGCTTGAGCCTTCTGCTGCTGTGCCCGGATGAGATATTCAGATACAGATATTGAGATTGTTGGAGCATCTGGCATAATTTCTGCTTGGTCTTCTTTCTCCGCGGAAGGTGGCAGGCTCAAGTCTTCAGATACAGGCATGCGAGGGAAAGGCTCAGCCTCATGCGGCTGTGATAAATCAAAATGTTCAGGCACAGGTGTAGTAGCTGATGAACCCACCTCTTCTTCCTCGTTCACTTCTGAAAAGTCGGAATATCCTGAAGCCGACCTTGAAGTTAGTAGTGAGTCTGGCTCGATTTCGCTTTTCTCTATTTCTGGGATTCTATACGGTGGGATTGAAACTTGTGATGCTGAATCTGGAGAAAAAAGTTCCATTTCTTCAGTGTCTTCATCTGACAAAACAGTATGCTCAGATGGGGACGTTAGACACAGTGGAGAGTCACACTCCAATTCTCTTTTCTCTAATTCCTGAGTTGGATATGGTGAAAATGAGAATTCTGACACAAATGCAGAATCTGGGGAAAAGGGTCCAGCATCTTCCTGTTCTTGCTCTGATAGATTTGTGGGTGGGGAAGCACCTTTTAGATGTAGAGGGGCTGGATGGACAATTTCTTCCTCCTGGGACTCTGGTGTTATATATGGCAGTACTAGAGATTCAGACAGGGAAGGGGATGAGTACCGCTGGGTTTCTATGGTCTCTTCTTTTGAGAGGACCACATGGTCAAGTGAGGGGGCTAAATTAGGTGGTAGGGCCTGGCATTCTGAAGGTACCTCAGTTGTGTTGGGGGGGAGAGAATATTCAGGTGCACAGACCATATCTGATGAATATAGTCCAATGTCTTCCTTTTCTTCTTCTGACAGAAACATGGACTCAGAAATGCTTTCTGGTTTGAATTGGGGTACATTATCAATTATTTTCTTTGGGGATTCCTGTGTTTCATTTTGTGGAACTGAGGATTTGGAAGTCAGTTTTGAACTTGATACGAAACGTTCACTTCCGAGGTCTTCATCTTCAGATAGGACTGCATGTCCCACTGTAGCAGGTGGAAGTGGTGGTGAATGGTGTTCAGACGTCTCCTCAGTTATGGTTGATGAAAGAGGGTATTCAGAGGAAGCATCCACAACTGGGGAATGTGGTTCAGTGCCTTCCTTCTCTTCTTCGGTCAGAATCATGGGCTCAGAAACAACCTGGGCTTTTAGTGGGGGGTCATGGTCAGTTGTTTTCTTCAAAAATTCTTGTGTATCATGAGATGAAATTGAATATTCAGAAGCAGAAGTGGAGTCTGGTGTGTAACACCCACTTTCTGAGGCCTCGTCTCCTGATAAAACCAGGTGGTCTGATGGAACTGTTGAAAAGAGAGGGGATTGGGATTCAGATGTCTTCTCAATGGTGGATGGAGAGAGAGAATGCTCAGATGCAGAGGCTGTAGCTGGGGAATAAGGCTCAAATTCCTCATTCTCTTCTTCTGAAAAAACTGCAGGTTCAGATATGGCTTCTACATTGGATGGAGAAACTGCCTCGTTCTGCTTCTCTAATTCATAGTTCAAGTCCTGTGGAACTGAATACTCAGACACAAAGGCAGAATCGGTAGAAACAGATTCCTTTTCCTCTCTTTCTTCCTCAGACAAAGTGGCATGTTCCGGTGTGGGTGTCATCTGTGATGGTAGAATTAACTCTTCTCTGTGCTCCACTTCAAGGGACAATGGTGATGGGAAGGGCTTCTGAGAAATTACAGGACTCTCTGGGTAATCAAGCTCTATGATCTCGTCTACTAAACTAGAATCTTCAGGTTCAGTGTTATCAGTGATTGGTGGGGAACTTTTCACTTCCTTCTCTAGTTCTTGTGATGCTAGAGAGATAGGTGCCTCAGGCACCCGTTCCTCCTCTCCTTGGACACTGGGCTCAGGGGAGATCAGGTGTTCAGAGTCTAGGTCAGTCTTTTCTATTAAAGACAGCTCTAGCTCTTCCTTGTCTGGCTCAAACTTTTCTTGGATGGATGGTAGCAGTCCTGGTGATCCTGTCTCCAAAGTTTCCTTCTCTGTCTCTTGTGGCAAAGAATGGTCAACAGAAAATCTCTTTTCCTGTTTTACATCAGCAACTGAGTCTGGGAAGACTGAAGAAGTTTCCATTCCTTGTGAGTCAGGTTCAAATTCTTCCTTTGCTGTTTCCAGGAGCACAGTCGCAGGTGTACTGAGTGGCTCTGTTTCTTGGGGTTTTGATTTGTCAGTTGGCTGTTGTACTGTCTGCGGATATCTAAGATGTACTTCTTGATCTGTTGTGTCATTTCTTGAATAAGAGGAAACTGTGTGCTCACTTGCATGTGTGGCATTTAAGGGGGAATCAGTATACATTTTCTTTTGATCTTCATGGCTGAATAATGAAGTGATGGATTTTGATCCTTTGGTGAGGGCACCTCTCCAGGGTGGAGCAAGCTCTCTGATGGTATCATCTTCTGGGCTTTGGGCTTCTAATTTACTTCTTTTGGATACTATTTCAGAATCACAATTTCCCAAATCTGGCTCTAGACTAATAGATGCATCTTTTCCTTTCCTATAATGTATTTCTTTAATTACATAACCTTTTGGCAATGTTCCATAAAATTGTAGCGGAATCAGTTCTTCTTTAACCGAATTAAACATCTTAATTTTGTATTGTACTGTTCCTATATACACTGGCCTCAACACTAATGGCTTGTGCTCTTTATATATTGCTCCTGTAATAGGAGGTGTGTTTGAGGTAGTCTTCTTTTTTCTTGTCTTATCATCAATGCCAGCAGATGGCATCTCTTTCTTGGTGTCTAACACCTGGCTTTCTGAAATTAAAGGACTGTCTTCTTTGTGTGCCAGAACATCTTGTAATTCCAAAGAATTTCTCTTTCTGCTGCCTTTCCGACGCAGTGATGGTGAGCCATGTTTGGACTTATGAGTTCTTTTCCGAGTCTTCTTAACTTCATCCACAATAAAGGACACATTTCCAGGAAGTGAATTCAGAGCTGACCGTTCGGGACTAAATACACCAGAAGTCTGACTTTCTTCTGAAGCCCAGGGAGTGGAAGATCTACTTGAATTGGTCTCCCAGGTTATTCCACTATCTTCCTGTTGGACAGTCACCATGGAAAAGGAGGGGTCAGAGATGATACACTCCTGCTTGGTCTTGCCCTCTTCATTCTGATCTGACAACCTACAATGAATGATATCAACAATTATATATTATAGTAATAAAATAATATTTAATAAGTTAATGTCTTAACAGATAAAAGTTTAATGTGAAAATTGAAATATAGAAATCTATGTTGCCACCTACCTAAATATAGGGGTACTTATAAATTAAAGTTAGGATATCAAATGCAATAACATATCCCAGGCCATAATGACTTGATATCCCTCAGACTGAAAATAAAGCTGAAATTCAGTTTAGCACTTTTCCTCATCTGGATTCCCTTCTGATTCCCCATGTTTCCCAGTCAGTGAGGTTCCCTTAAGTCACCAGGACCCTCACTGTGACTCTTGCATCCATTGACTTTGTTCCCACAGTCACCACGAAACCTAGCTTTGTACCACTGCACTCCATCTGCTTCCTATCTGGACAGTTTGGTCGACGCTTACCTCTTGTATTCCCCCACTCTCCATCCCTCCTGCTCATCCTTTCAGACTGGCTTTACCAAACATTTCATCATGCTACTCACAGAAAAATCTCAATAAACCTGTCATACTTAGCAAATAGATAGATCAAAATCCATGGTTCGCTGGTCCTTATCTGACTTTATTTACTGATGAATTTCTATTATAACTATAATCACGTGCCACAGAAAAGCATTTTGGTTAACTACGGACCATAAAAACAACAGTGGTCCTAGGAGATTATAATGGAGCTGAAGATTCCTGTTGCCTAGGGACACTGTAGCCATCACAACACCTTAACTCAAGAATTTACATGTTTGTGATGATGCTGGGGGTGGGGGCCACTGTACTTCCAGATTCACAAAAGCATAGCACATAGAGTTATGCAAAGCATAAAATACTTGATAGTGAGAGTAAGCCATGTTACTACTTTATGCATTTGCTATACTATTCTTTTTCATTATTTTGGAGTGTACTCCTTCTACTTTAAAAAAAAAAAAGCTATTGTATGGCTGGGGATGCAGCTTAGTGTTACAGCATTGATCTAGCATGTGCAAGGCCATGGGTTTGACTCCCAGAACCATAAAGAAAAACCATATGCCATGTAATACCAGGAGCAGCCTCTTCCATCTTATATTTACTGTCTCTTAGTTGTATCCAGAAGCCATAGGCAGTGTTGATCTCTACCATCTAGCTTGTGTAAGTATGTGCTGCGCTGCTCGTACAACAAAATCAATAAACAATGCATTTCTCCGAGTATGTTTCCATCATTAGTGTGTCTAATCCACTATGTAATAAATACTTCATGGGGCCTCAGTCATAATAAAGGAACATCAGATCCATGGATGAAAGAGGGGACCAAAAACTTTACTTTCATCATCTGTAGAACAAAGATAATAATAAAATTTACATTGTGGAGTTTTTCTAAGGATTAGTTAATACACATAAAGTGCTAAGAAAAGTGCCTGGCATATAATTGGTGCTCAATAAATGCTATTTGCCATCAGGTCTTCCATCCAATCCTTGAACTAGAGATCAAAGAAATATGAACATGGCCATTTTCAGTGGTGTGGATATTTGGAAAGGCGTCTGCTTGGCGTGCTCCCATAGGTCATGAATAGCAGGAAAAAAACCTCCATTTTGTCCTGGGCCAGTCCTGACTCCAAGCTTTGGCCACTTTGGCATTCTTCCCAGTCACTGGCCTCCCCCAGTGACACATTCAGGCCTTTTCACGACCCTGACTATGGCAGAGATGTATAACCAAAAAAACTACTGTAGCAAGGTTTCTCTGACCTCCATCCGCTCCAAATTGTTATTATGATTTTTGTGGTTTTCCGTTCATAAGCTCTGTACCCCCGACCTTCAGTGCTGAGAGAATTTCAAAGACACTAGCCACTCTCAATCCTCAAGGCTATCAGTTATCAATAAATGACTCCTTTCCCTTTTAATTGGCTTATATGTGAGGCGGTGATCTGGAATACTCTCGCCTGGGTCTAAGAATATTCTGTGAGACTGCAGGCTCTGGCTGCCCCTGCACCTGCCATCAGGCCCATGTCCCAGACTCCGTAGCACTCTTCTCTGGGTTTTCCTCACTTGTGCTGATGCTGCTCCTTCATTCAGAATGCTTGTCCTCCACCATACTCCACCTTTCAATTCCATAGATCCTTCAATGCTTATTCTTAAAACTTCTATCGTTTTCCTGACTCGTTTAAGCAGCCATGTTGTATGTTGGCCATTGTATCAAACATTAAGCTACAGATTAAAACACCAGGGCTCTTTCCTCCTAGAAATATGGCTATAATTTGAGATAAGCCCAAACTATTGACTAGCTTATTGTACTGGTCTACAACAAAAGAAACAGAAAAACCTAAAACTATTAAGCATAAATATTAAAGTACTTTTTACCAAATTTAGGACTCTTAATAATCCTTTAAAATCATTAGTCACTGCTTCTATCTGTGGTTCTTAAGTCTGAAGCACTTCAGAAGCACCTGTAGGGAGCCTTACGGAAATGCCCTTCTGCATAGTTTCTATCAAATGTTAGATATAGTCTGGGCCTTATGTTTGTACGTTTTATGCATGCAGAGTTGCAAAGCACTTGCCTAAACAAACCTATCTCTGAAACTTACACAGCACATACCTGTCTTGCTTACTCTGACCCCTTCCTGAAAGGCTTGACTGAGGACAGACACTGTAAGTGCCTTCAAGTGCTTAGACTGCACTTCAGCATTCACCAGCCGTCTACAGCTGAAGGGTAGGGATGTGGGGAGCCCTTATCTCCTCAGTGCCCAGCACATTAGCACATTGGAGCATTAGCAGGCAGCTTCATCCACTCTCTCTAGCCTGCCATAAACAGCAGCAAGTTCTGTACATGCCTTGGGTGAAAAGGATTGAGAAGCAGTGGGGAAGAATTCGCTTTTCCTTTTTTCTGGCAACTTTGTTCTTCCTTATTTGTTTTGGTATTAAACTATCAAACTTAATTAGGAACTAATCTTGGTCCTGGACTGAACCCTAGTTTGAAATACTTTTTTCAGTCTCTTTTACTTATCTAATTAAGGTTATTACTCAAATTTTTAACTCCTGCTACTCCTCTCTTTCCTGTCACTTAACAGAAATAGAACGAAATTAAAAATGAAGGTTTTGCCACAAATCTGGGAAGTCAGCACTGGGAATGCCTGTTACTGCAGTAGCATTACAAAAGCAATTATAAATTCAATTTAGAGTTCATTATTGATTGTAAATTCAGTGTACTCAACCAGAGATGGTTTCATTACCAGCTAGAATGAGTTCAGGAGTGCTGAACAGAGCGCCCAGAAGGCAGTAGTAATAAGCAAGCAGAGCCCTGCTGAGGTTGATTCACCTAATCAATCACCTGTGAATTCATTTACTAATTATTTCTGCATTTGATAAACTTTTATTAAGTTTAGATAGTAAAAAATATAAAGACATAACCCTTTTTCCCCTAATGCTAGGGATCAAATGCAAGGTTTTGTACATGTATTGTATAGGGCTGTCCTCGGACAAACAGATGTCATCTTCCTGAGCTCAGATGAGCCTGCTTGCCTAAGATCATGGCAGCTGGGCTTGTTGATTATTCACACCCCACCCCCCCACCATGGAAGGAGGGGCAGTTAGAATAATGGGACCCTGGGCCTGAGAGTCCAGCCACACCTCCCAACTCCAGATGAGAAATTTGGCCCTAATTGAATGTGGGTTGGGAGAAGGGCTAGAGTATTTAGGCTGGGGAAGACTAAGGGTAGGGACTCTCTCAATCTCTCAATCATCTTGTGTGGCTGTGGGGAAGCCATCATCCATGCTGGGTGAAGACTTTCCAGTGCAGCCTTAGGTGGGGAGTACCCACACTCCTGTAAGCAAACCCTCACACTTTGTTCTGTAAGTAAGCCCAATAAATTCATTGTTTCCTGGAGGCATTTTGGTGGAATTGTATCTTAGTCGAGATCAAGGAAGGAGAGAAGGGACATAGTTTATATCCCCTCCCCAGAAGGAATTTTAGCAACAGCACACTAGGCAAACATGCTACCACTGAACTACACCCCAAGCCTAGAACTGTCTTGAAAAAATTCAAATCTAATGGGGAGACAGAGCTAAATATTTCAATACAATGTGATACATACTATTATGGAAGACAGACAAGATCTGAGGAGGACAAAAGGGAAGATTTCACAGAAGATGCCTGAGTAAGTTTGCAGAAGAAATAGTTTGCCAAATGGATGAGGAAAGGAAGTCCTATAAAGATGGTGGGGGGGGAGTCATTCCAGGAAAAGGCCACAGAGCATAGAAAATATGTATATGAATAAGCATCCTGGTTTACTGAGAGACGTTAAATTATCAACCAACATCAGAGAATGACTACCGTAGAATATATATGGTGGTTTGAATGAGAAATGTTCCCAGAGGCTCAAGTATCTGAACTCATGGTCCCCAGTTGGTGGTACTGCTTGGGAAGGCCATGAAACATTTAGGAAGTGGAACCTTGCTGGAAGAAGCACATCACCGAGGGAAAGCTTTGAGGGCTTAGAGCTTCACCCCACTTTCTGTTCTTCCTCTCTCTTCCCTGTGTGTGGATAAAAATATAACCAGCTAGCTTCCCGTTCTTGCTGGCATGCCAGGCCAGTGCCACCATTGTGAACCCTAGCTTTGTGGAACTCTAACTAAGCTCCTTAAATTCTTTCTTCCTTAAGTTTCTTTTCGGTTATGCTATTTTATCACAGCAACATAAAATAACTAATATAATATATAAAATGAGAGCCCAAGAATTTATATTACACTCTATCTAAGGAAATAATGTACCATATTAACAAAAGGAAAATGGTCATTGTAGAGCTCAGAAATACTTTTAGGGTTATTTCTCGTTGAGCAACACAAGTCTTCTCCTTCGTGTATGCATCAGATTTTCATACCTAAAAGATATTGGCTATGAAGATCATCTCATGCATTTCTCTCTGATTGCATTATCACAAAGCAACTTTCTGATTATTTTTTGGCTTCCCATATCAACTTTGGTAAGGGTGTAAGGTGAACCCCCCTTCAGAGTTGGAC